AGCCAGTGCAGATTCTTAACCACGGAATCATGAGCAAATAAAATGGTTGTGGTTTTAAGCCACTAAGTTTTGGGGTGATCTATTTCACAAAATAGGGTCCACACTTTTGAGTCCAAATGAGCATGTAAGCAGGAAAGCAAAACAGCAGAGCTAGTGTCTGGGAGGCTTAAAACTGGGACAGGATTGGGATTGTGAAAGAGGTCAAGGAAGCAGTTCACAAGTAAGGCTGAGACTTAAAACTTGAAGGCCCCTCTAGTCTGTGTTTGTGCATTGCCAGGAGCAATGCACATGGTGACTTAAAAGAGTCATGCTAGGGGCACCTGGGTGGCTCAGATGGTTAAGCATCTGTCTTCAGCTCGGGTCATGATCTCTAGGTCCTGGGATCAATCCCCATGTCAGGCTCCCAGCTCAGTGGGGAGTCTGCTTCTCCTCTCCCCCTACTTATGCTCTCTCTGTCTCTCTCTCTCTCTCTCAAATGAATAAATAAAATCTGTTAAAAGACAGAGAGAGTCATGTTCAACAAGATCAAGTGCAACACAACCACGGATCAGCCCAGAGGACCTTAGTAAGTGATGATTGTAGATTTGTGCTGATCAACTCCATTTGCTATAGCCCAGTTTCCATTCAGACGAATGGCACATGACTACAATGAGATGATTCATGTGCTCAGAGAGCAAGACCATAGTCTGACCTTATGAATATCATGCCCTACCTACTACACAACAGTGACCTAAAGTATTGAGGAGTCAAGGAAACATAGCTGATATAGGGGTTTCCTTTCTGTTACAATAAAGCTCATAATGAAAATCCGCCATTTCCTGCCCCTCCTCCAGACTTGCTTCCTAGGGGAAAAAAAAAAACAAAAAAACTATTTTCAAATTTTCTAACTTTCTTGCTATTTCTAAATAACATTTTACACTGTTATTTATTTTTCAGTTGTATATATTACCTATTGACTTCTTTTTATGTAAGATGAGGATTGAGCTCTCTCAGCTCTCATTCTTATCTTCATCCTCCCAATATAAATATATTTTAAGATTAGATCAGTATTCAGTGTTTACCTATATAAAATAAGTAGTTATTTTCACAACTGAGACATATGGTTTACTGTGATTATATTTGCTTTCTTGTTCTTCTTGAAATTAGTAGTTGCCTTGGTTTTACTTATTTTAAAAAAATGGATGAACATCAGAAATATTAACCTCTATGCAGAGTTAATATATCTTAAGAATGGCTATGTTCACTTACTAATATTTCTCTCTCTACTTTTGGATTGAAATGAGTACAGAATAATTAAAGACTTTTTTGGCAAATACAACAGTCATTGGAAAGGTATGTTTTAGTGAAGATTGTTTATAAACACACCTCTTGCTGCCAGGATCTTAAAGTCTAATTAATGAGCAGCAGCCTTTCCCCTTCTATCACTTGCTTTCATCTTCTTTCATTTATACACATTCATACACTCTTTATTCTCTTGCTTTCTGTTTTCCTCTTTATCTCAGTCTGTACAAGTTTGCACACAAAATTGGCTTCCCTTCTAGCTGTTTTGTCCCTGTGCTCCATCAAAAAATATTTTCTGCATCTCTAATTTCATCAAGATATGCCTGACTGAGAATGTCAAAACCACTGAGCAGAAGTGTTTAATCCAAAGTTGGCTCTGCCGGTGATGATCAGCTGAGGAAACAACCTCAAATTTTTTTCTTAATTACTTGTTAGGATGTTAAGTTTTCACTTTATGGAATAGATTCACATCCTGCTTCTCATTCGCTGCCCTTTATTGTGCAGAGACCTCCCACTGATTTCCAATGGAAAGAGCTCTCCGCACCCAGGAAAGACACATGGAAGGGGAAAAGGGTACCTGGCCATATGTAGGAGAAATATCTTCAGCAGAGATTTTCCGGAAGCAGAGAGTCCCTCCTTGATTTGGTGGATGGTTACATTCTGGCCACCTTTATGTAACTCGGTAAACTAAGGTTGGAGAGTTGAGCCGTTCACTAGCAGCAAGACCTGGAATGGGCTGGGCAGCCCGAGGTATAGCCAGGAGCAGAAGGCTGCAGCTCCAATCCCTGTTCAGCAGTCTGATGGCTGTGTGATACCAGGAGAGGCTGCTAATCTCTTCAAGCTTTTTGTGGCATCATCTCTAACATAGGAGTGGTACCATCAACCTTTTATCCTCAAAGATAAAACATAAGTGTGTATGAAAGCACTTAATAAATGATGAAGTATCATAAAGTTTACTTTGTTGTTTAAACTATCTTATAAATATAAAAATTATGAAAGGAAAGATTTAGAGTATAATTAGCAGGGAAGGAAGCTTATGTTTCTTTGGGATGAGACCCATGACTTGTTGGCCTAATACAGTATGTTCATAATCTCCTTTCATGAGGTTTACCCACGCATTCAGAGTACTCATGCTCAAAGACTCACTGATTTGAGAACAATGTTCAGGGAAAGCATGTGCCAGGAACTGGTCAGGTGGGCAACACAGAGAACTGTTGCTACACTGGCTGTGGTTGGAGTAGCTGCTTTGGAGACACTGATAGAACCATGATAGAAACTATGGAATAGATCATCTTCCTCCTCTCCATTTCAGCTTGTTGGTCAGTCCCTTCTCTGTACAACATTTATACAAGGCCCAGAATATGCATCCTCTTCCAGTGGCTGTCTGTGAGGAAAACTGTAGAGCTGCAGTTCGTTAGTGTATCATGCCTTATTTGCTGAGGTGTGGCTTGCAGGACCCTTCCGAAACGAAGAAGACTGGTACTTTTTTTTAAATTTGATTTTATTTTATTTCTTTTCAGCATTCCAAAATTCACTATTAATGCACTATATCCAGTGCTCCATGCAGTACGTGCCCTCCATAATACCCCCCACCCCAGAAGGCTGAATCTTTATGGACCGAAAATATTTATTATTTTTTCACAGTTTGAACGAAATCTATTGTGATGATCTGTTTTATGTGTCAGCTTGGTAAAACTATAGTATAGTTCCCAGTTATTTAATCTAGATGTTGCTAAGAAGATATTTTAGGGATCTGGTTAACATCTATAATCAGTTTACGTAGAGTAGATTACCCTGGATAACGTAGATGGGTCTCATCTAATCAGTTGAAGGTCTCTAGGAGAAGAAATTCTCCCTCGGGATTATAACATCAACTCTTACCCAACTTTCCAGCATGCCAGCTTACTTTGTGATTTTGAACTTGTCAGTCCACAACCTTGTAAGCCAATTCATTAAAATAAATCTGTCTATCTATCTATCTACCTATCTATCTCCTCTTGGTTCTGTTTCTCTGGAGAACCCTGAGTGATACAGTTTTTTCTCTATCCAAAGGCTACCTTTTCTTTAACTCTGTTATAACCCAGCTCTCACCAATCCAGGATACGAAATGTTTTCTTTTCACTAGGAAAATCACTGCATTACTAGATTAACAAATCTTGTAAATTAATCCCAAACCATAAACCAACTCTGATCTTAGAATCTATGAAGCTTTGATATAACTAAAGTACATACTTTTTTTAAAAGAAAGATTTTAGGGGTGCCTGGGTGGCTCAGTGGGTTAAAGTCTCTGCTTTTGGCTCAGGTCATGATCCCAGGACCCTGAGATCATGACCTGAGCTGAAGGCAGCTGCCCAACCAACTGAGCCACCCAGGCACCCCTGAAGTACATACTTTTTTAATCGTCACTGATTTTACCTCATCAAAAGCCAGAAGTTCAAAAAATCTGTGTTCTAATCCGATACTTGCCTTAGTTCTCATAACTATGTGGTGTCTAATTATTCCCCAAATGACCTTCCCACTGCACACATGCTCATCAGTAAAGAATCTCAACGTAGTGGGCAGGTGGCAGTTGTCACAGGGTACTGAGGCCGTAGAACTCAAGTCATAAGCGTTATGTTTCAAAGTAGTAGTCTCTCCTTTGACATCAAACTTCAAAAGGTAGTAGTGATCTCATAATTCAAGGTCTTAAGAGCAGTCAGGAGTGAAAAATTCTTCCCTGTTTAATAGTTATTTTTATTTGCAGGGCCAGTCCTGGGATCCTTTACATACATTTCAGTCACTTGAACTCCGTGAATCACAAACACGATGAACCTCACCTCTGGCCATTCCCGGGCAGGCTAAGTCAGGGTCTGGGTTCCGTGAGTCATTTATCAGAGACTTCAGTTTTAAACAGTTCCCAGTGGGATTACGTGTGAGCCTTTTCAATTGTCCGTGACTGCGTTCCGTATACACATATCGATCGCCCTCTCTAATTCCCAGACCTGGTGCCCTGCCCTTCTGTCTGGCTTGGGACAAGCAGCATGGAGGCACCATGCTGGCCCCTGAGGGGTGGGGACAGAACCTGGCGCCACTGAGCAGACGTCCCTTAATGGTAATCCTCCAGCGAGTCAGTGGCCTCCAAAGAGACCATGAGTGTGGCCTGTTGATGAGGAATGTAGTCATGGTCACACAAAAAAATCCCCAGTCTCTGCCTCTGGACCCCATGCATGGCCCATCATGCCTGCTGCAGAAAGAAACTGGACAGGACCTCCCCTTAGGAGCCTGTCAGCCCTCGTCACTAATCAGCCCAGGGGCTACTGAGAATGACTGGAGGCACTCTCTTCCACCCCCCACCAACTGCACTGCCCGCTCTCCGCCCCTGCCACCTGGGGAGCCCCACACCAGGCCAGGGCAATCAAGCTTGGCTTCTGCATGGCCGTGCAAAGCTCACCATCAGGCAAGCTCCTAAAATATTTATATTTATACATGCAGGGCTCAGACTTTCTTTCTACCGTAGCAGGTAAGGACTGAGTATGATTGGGGAGAGTTTGTTCATCCCGTGCTAGCAAACCCATCAGCAGTGGCTCGCCTGGCCAGGAGAGCAGGGCTCTCACTTACCAAAAGAGCTAAAAAGTTGGTCGTTGTCATAATCCATGCATTGGAAGAAATACACATCAGAAAATCATATAGTCTCCCCCTCCCTTTTATTTGGACGTTTGATTTCATTCATGTACAGGCAAAAGTCAAAATGCCTCTCCTGATGGACACCCCTCCCGGGACTCACTGGCAGCAGAGTAAAGAGTGGGTGAGCACAATATATGTATTTCTTTTCAAAAATAGCATGACATGATACCAGAGAGCTTTTAGCTACCCATTCTTTTCTGAAGGACTGTTAGAAAACTAGGTGGTTGGCAAGAAAATCCATAGAAGACAGGGAAGCTGAAAGATCCATATTTTCAACAAAGATGGATGGGTACACTCGAGCCTCAATCAGCGGTTGTCCCCAGATATTCAGAAAATATCTTCGACTGGGGTTTTCTGAGAGAAGACAATGGGATATCCAAGCCTGAGGGTTAGGTGAATTTTCCCGTGGTAGCGATGGCTGTCCCCCCAGAAACAGTTTAGTTTCTCTAAAAACCGAAGGTTTCACTAGCTTGTGCCTTTCATCAAATTGGCTTTGCATGCATGGGAATTATTTTTAAGTACTCTAAAATGGTATCATTTCCTGGTTGCAAATTATTTGGGTATATTTTGAAACTAATTAAAAGGGAAATGTCCTATTTTGTAAAGAGCAGCATTTCTACATCTAAAAAATCAGATGTTCTCAGTGGGGAGCAGGGTTTTATCTTTGTCACTGTTGGCTATTGCTAAGTGCATCTCAGATTGAAAATCTAAATGAAATAACTACAAGGATTTACATGGGTGAAGTTTATATTGGAAAAGCAGGAGGGAGACTCATATACATATATAATACATAGACGATTTATCTGTGAATTTAGAAAGCCTTTTCTTGTCATATTTTTTCTGTCTTCCTAGCTACTTGTTATTTCACTGTGAGCATCACAAACATGGAGGGCTGCAGAGATGCCAGGATCCATCATGGTGTCCAAAAATTGGCTTCGTACATATGCTAAATTAGAGACTGGCTGGCAGAAGCAGTTCACAGATCCTGGATTGGCAGGGATTCCTCATGAAAGAAGACAGGGCCGCAAGCCCAAGGGACTCATTCTCCAGCCAGCAGTCATGCAACACGTTCCATCCAACAAGCCAAAACCCTTTTTTAAAATAAATTCTGAATCTTCCTTCAGGCATCAGGTCCAGCCCAGGTAACGTAGCCTCTAAGAGTCTAGTGCCCTTTCCTGCTTCATAAGGAAGAGACTGTATTGAATCTGGCATGGGCCAGAGCTTTGAGATTTGTCGCCAAAGGATCCAGGTCATTGCGGTTGCTGCCAGCAGTGAATAGGCCTCCCCGGTGTTGAAGGAGGAAGGCAGGAATCTTATAGACAAAAACCTTCCTGTCTTTGTCTTCTTGGAAATAAGCAAACTGCTGTGGTGGTTCTGACGGAGGAAGAGTTAACGCAGCGGAGAAATGTATTAGACAGCCGGAGCAGATACGTCTATGCCAAAAGGATCCACCATCTGGGTCTTTCTCACTCACTGTGTCAACCAGAACATGCCTCTCTCATTTACGAGTAGCTAGTTGATGGCTTTACTGTTCCCACAAGACATGCTTTATTTTATGGACGATAATGAGTTTTAACAAAAAACAACGTTTTTATTGTTCTTGCTGTTGACCTTGGGTTCCTGCTTAATCTTCGAGTTGAGTACTAGAGAGGAGTGAGGAGACTAATTTTCTAAGCCAAGAAGTGTTTTGGACTCAGATGATGACGTGTGACAACTTACAGAACAGTTGTAAGTGGGGCATTAACTCCAAGTACTTTGCCTTTCCTCTAAGTATATGGTGAAGAATTAAGAGCCGAACTAAGTGACCCTAGTCCCAGTCAGTGCCCTGATGTGAAAGCTGGAGCCGAGCCTTGTGACACCCCTAGGGACCTTGCCGAAGACCTAAGGTAGCCTAGGTTCTATTCACCTAAACAGAGTTGGGGAGGAGACAGAGGATAGAAAAGGGGATGGAAAAAGTCACCTTTATTAACATATTTTCTAGTAGCTCTTTTAAGGAACCATTCATTCCACTGTTCATGTTCATTTTGGGGGATTCGTTTTTATTTAAAAAGTTACTGTCCCAAGATATAAATACAAATCAGAAAACAGTACAATTAGGGCACTAGATTAGAGTAATATATAAAACATTTTTAGCTGATTGAAAACAAAGCTGAAAGGACTGCTTTAACAAAGTATTGTTTTCAAGAGCAAGAAAAACATCAACCTAGGTTTAAAATCATATATCCAGTTCTCTCAGCAGTTCTAGTAAATGCCATGGTGTGAAATACAACACAGGCAATAGTTTTGCACATAATATTTGTTGATGGCAAGTCTGTAGACAAGTCCAATTTCATTTGTTATTAACCATGATTTTTAAACATTTTTTAATTTATTTGAGTTAGGGGCAGAGGAAGAGAAAGAGACAGACTCAGGGCTGAGCAGGGAGCCCGATGCGGGGCTGGATCCAACAACTCTGGGATCATGACCTGAACTGAAGGCAGACGCTTAACCAACTGAGGCACCAAAGCACCCCATTAACCATGGTTTAATAAAATAATTGTATCGTCATCTTTTAGCTAACCTGTGGTTCTTGGCTACCCACAGCCCAATGCTTATTGATTTCTGACTGTAAGAACTGGAAGCCTTTGGGGCATCTGGCTGGCTCGGTAGTATAGCACACAACTCTTGATCTCGGGGTTGTGGTTTCAAACTCCACCTTGGGTGTGGAGATTACTTAAAATAAATAGGCAAACAAACAAACTTGAAAAAAATTAAAAAATTGGAAGCCTTTTGTTATTTACCCATCTGAAGATTTTCTTGCAAGTATACTAAGGCATGGAATGATTAAAATAATATATCTCAATTACTGGGGCGCCTGGGTGGCTCAGTTGGTTGAGCATCTGACTTTTTGTTTCAGCTCAGGTCATGATCTCAGAGTCATGAGATTGAGCCTGGAGTTGGGATCTGTGCTCAGAACGGAGTCTGCTTGGGATGCTTTGCCTCTTCCTCTCCCTCCACCTCTCTCCCTCCTCCCACTCGTGCATGTACTCTCTCTCTCTCTCTCAAATAAATAATAAATAAAATATATATGTGTGTGTGTATATGTACACACACACACACACACACACACACACACACACATATACACTGTGGCTGTCAAAAGCTACATCCATATCTTAATCCCCAGAACCTGTAAATACAACCTTATTTGGAAGAAGGGTTCTCTACAGATGTAGTTAGGTGGTTGAGATAAGATGATTCTTTTTTTTTTTTTTTAAGACTTTTATTTATTTATTTATTTATTTATTTATTTATTTATTTGATAGACAGGGATCTCAAGAAGGCAGAGAGGCAGGCAGAGAGAGAGGGGGAGGCAGGCTCCCCCGCCAAGCAGAGAGCCCAATGTGGGGCTCACTCCCAGGACCCTGGGACCATGACCTGAGCCGAAGGCAGAGGCCTTAACCCACTGAGCCGCCCAGGCACCTCAAGATAAGATCATTCTTGATCATCCAATGTCAAGTGTCCTTTTAAGTGACATAGAGGAGCAGGCCATGTGGAGAGAGAGGCAGAGATGAGAGTGAAACAGCCACGAGCAGTGCTGCCAGTACAGGCTAGGAGTGGCCAGGAAGGGTTCTCGAGGGAGAGGGACAGCCCTGTCAACACCTCCCTTTCATATTTCTGCTCTTTAGAGCTGTGAAAGAATAAATCCCTGTTGTTTGAAGCGGCCAGAGTTTGTGGCAATTGGTTATGGCAGCCTTAGGAAACTAATACACTTCAGATGAGTACATCTTGAAGGATGGACATCATTAATCGGGAACTCTAATATCTCTTTTTCAATTAACCTTGTAGTTGGTCTTACTGATAATAAAAAACAACGCTGATTTAGAACATATTAATAATATTATTAAATAGGAATATTAGATCTCTTTTGAGATAAACATTTTTGCTCACGGAAGAGCTGTCCATAAGGGACACCTGAGTGGCTCAGTAGGTTAAGTGTCTGCCTTCAGCTCAGGTCATGATCCCAGGGTCCTGAGATTGAGCCCCATGTCAGGCTCCTCACTCGGCTGGGGAGCCTGCTTCTCCATCTCCCTCTGCATGCCACTCTTCCTTCTTGTGCTCTCTTTCTCTGTCAAATAAATAAAATCTTAAAAAAAAAAAAAAGCTACCCATAAATACCACCTTCTGAATGAACCACTGTTTCCTTAAAAAATTTTTATAGAGAGGCGCCTGGGTGGCTCAGTGGGTTAAAGCCTCTGCCTTCGGCTCAGGTCATGGTCTCAGGGTCCTGGGATCAAGCCCTGCATCGGCCTCTCTGCTTGGCGGGGAGCCTGCTTCCCCCTCTCTCTCTGCCTGCCTCCCTGCCTACTTGCAATCTGTGTCTGTCAAATAAATAAAGTCTTAAAAAAAAAGCTATCCATAAATACCACCTTCTGAATGAAACACTGTTTCCTTAAGAAATTTTTATAGAAGTAAACACCCCATTATCAGAGAAAAGGGCTTCATTGTGACATTCCTCTATCCTCGGCTTTGTTTGGTAATTTCATTTCTGTATCAGATCCATACTGTCCAATAACCTCTCCATTGTAGGGCATTTCAGCTTCATAGAGTAATAGTGCCAATAAAATTCTGCTGTTTTATTATACACTTATCAGTCAATTATCTGGTCTTTAGGCCGGGATTTGTTGGCCTGTCTTTTCTCAATAGCTCTATCTCAATGCATCTTTTAACAACTGTTTCCCCACATAGTCTTCATTTCAAATTTAGAATATGATGTTGCTCAGTTTACTGGTTCACAGTTGAGGGTGAACAGCTTACAGTGTTTGTGACAATATTGGATTTATTTATTTCCCAATGCGTGATTTTTTAAATAACAGCATGTTGTGTACTTGCTTGTTTTTCCAAAGCCACTTGAGTACCTGGATAACTCTGCTTTGATGATTCATTTCCATCAGAAAAACTATGAAGGCATTTACCTTGGACTATGTTGTACCACTTGTTTCTCTTTTCACACCTTAGGATGATCTCTGGAAAGAACCCACTTTAGACGCCACTGTTACCTTACTTCAACTTCTTTTTCTTATTATTCAATTCAATTCAACAAACATTTATTAAATATCTACAACATGCTATCCAGTAGAT